ACATTGCTAAAAAGTAAAAAGTTTTACTAGGACTTGAGGCAACACAAAGCCCTGTGACCTGCCACAAGAAGCTTCCTAACAGGTTGAAAGGAAATTCAGTAAGTACTAGTCTTTGGATATGGTCATTCAACTGGATATGAATTCACTTATTTGATCTAGAAACCAGCTTACATTATTACATATTTTCTAAAATAAATCATGAGGCATCTTGCCAAATGCCTTGTCCACAAACAGAATTTATGCTGAATTCACTCCTTTTTCCAGTCTAGAAACTCTATCAAAAACAGAAATAATTACTGTGGAATTGGTGTACTGATTGTCAATACTGTATTTATCACTATCTGGGGGGCACTTTCCATCTGCCTTTCCCCCTTTTGTATAGAGGCAGTGTGGCACTGTGATTAAGAGTATGGAGAGTTTAAATCCTGGGCTCGAGTCTTGGCTTCCCTAATTAGTGGCTGTGTGAACTTGGGCCATTTTCTCATCAAACTATGCCTCAGACTTTTCATCAGTAAAATGGGGAAAATAATAGAACCCACATCTGAGGGTTGGTATGAGGATTGAATAACTTAATATTTGTAAAGCATTTAGAAAATCTTCTGGCACATTAGTAAGCAATGTAAAAATTCTTGTTTAAGTGAACAGGTGGAAAAAATAGATTTGGTAAACAGACGTCAGACTGCAGCCAAAAATATGCATTTAGGATATCCCTCAGCAACAGACTATAGCAACACAAAACATCATAGCAAACGTATAAGCTGTAGTTTTTTGTTTTGTTTTTAACAAAAATAACCCACAAGCCATGTAATGACTAGAGGTATTAGAGTCTCTTATAACTTACCAACACTTAGACGAAATTTTTTTTTCAGGAGAATATATTGAATCTCCAGAACTTAGGGTTTATTACTGTCCAGTGTATATATATATCTATACTAGAGGCCTGGTGCACGAAATTTGTGCACTGTGGGGGGGGGGGGCCCTCAGCCCAGCCTGTGCCCATTGGGGGGGGGGGGTCCCTCAGCCCAGCCTGTGCCCTCTCTCAGTCTGGGACCCCTTGCTCCTTACCACCCACCTGCTCACTGCTCCTTATCACTCAACTTGCTGCTCCTTAGAGCTGCTGCAGAGGCGGGAGAGGCGGGAGAGGCTCCCACCACTGCCGCTGTGCTTTCCAGCTGTGAGCCCGGCTTCTGGTTGAGCAGCGCTCCCCCTGTGTAAGTGCACTGACCACCAGGGGGTAGCTCCTGCGTTGAGCGTCTGCCCCCTGATGGTCAGTGCACATCATAACGACCAGTCATTCTGGTCACTTAGCCTTATTGGCCATTAGGGCAGAACAACCAGAATGACTGGTTGCTATGATGCGCACTGACCACCAGGGGGCAGACGCTCAACATAAGAGCTGCCCTTTGGTGGTCAGTGTGCTCCCACAGGGGGAGCTCCGCTCAGCCAGAAGCTGGGCTCATGGCTGGTGAGCACAGCGGTGCTGGTGAGAGCCTCTCCCACCTCCGTGGCAGCACTAAGGAGCAGCAAGCAGGTGGGCAGTAAGGAGTGAGGGGTCCTGGAGTGTGAGAGGGCGCAGGCCGGGCTGAGGGACACACTCCTCTCCCCGCCACCCACAGTGCACAAATTTTGCGCACCAGGCCTCTAGCATATTCATATTAATGAATGTATGCTTTCCTCCTCCAAATAATTTTAATACTTTAATTGGTACTAGATAACTAAATACACAATTTAATACTTTTATTACTTTT